CGGGTGCTGATTTTTCCATAATTAGTCAGAAGCTGGCTGCTCTTCTTAGAAAAGTAAAAACGCCATGGACAGGACCACATATAAGAACAGCGGGGTGGTCAATTGCTGCTCCCTACTGAAAGATGCACAGCAAGAATCAGCATAGGAGATTCTTCTTTCGTCGCGACTTTCATTGTTCTCCCGGAGTGCTGCAAAGATTTAATTATAGGAATAGACTTTCTCAGGGAGCATGGCGCAATAATCAACATCCCGGACCGCGTGGTTTCATTTTACGAGAGCGCTCGTCTGACTGATCCTACTTCACCAGAGCACAAATCCTTTCGTCTCAAAGACCACAATATAGTCGGGCCACCTCGATCATGTATCCTCGTTTCAGTAGCATGTGACGTACCGTTCGACGGTGAAGGAGTCGCCGACCAACTAACCTCGCTGCTTTTCACACACGGGATTTCCGTAGCACGAGGAATAGTCAATGTCACCGACGGCCGAACGAACTTGCTGTTGACCAATTTCACCTCCGAGCGACGGCACCTTCCAAAAGGCACAACGTTGGCACATTTCGACGAGATCGCAGACGTTTGTGACTGCAGCACTCGAAGCAACACCTGCACAAGACCCACGTGACCTAGCACCTAACCTTGACGTCAGCCCTACTTTAACTCAGCAACAGCGGGAACGCCTGCTTGTGCTGCTAGACGAGTTCCACGACTGTTTTGCGTCGACCTCAAAAGTTGGCCGGACGTCCTTGGCCAAGCACCGAATCATCACAGAGGACACGGCTAGACCAATCCATCAAAATCCGTACCGTGTGGCTTCAAAAGAACGAGAAGCGATAGAACAGCAGGTAACGAAAATGCTTGAAGACGACGTCATTCAACCGTCGAAAAGCCCCTGGGCATCACCTGTTGTTCTAGTGAAAAAGAAGGACGGCAGCCTGCGTTTCTGTGTGGACTATCGAAAGCTAAATCAGGTTACAAAAAAGGACGTGTACCCGCTTCCCCGCATAGACGATTCGATTGACAGGCTTCGAAACGCACGTTACTTCTCTTCCATGGACTTAAAGAGCGGATATTGGCAAATTGAAGTAGACCCCAGGGATCGTGAAAAAAACCGCTTTCGTGACGCCAGACGGACTGTACGAATTTAAGGTTTTACCATTTGGCTTATGCTCCGCTCCTGCTACTTTCCAGCGTCTCATGGATACCGTTCTCTCTGGCCTCAAATGGCGAACCTGCCTAGTATACCTTGACGACGTCATTGTGTTTTCTACAACGTTTGACGAACACCTTGAACGATTGCAAATGATCTTGCAGGCCATACGGGCCGCAGGCCTGACGCTCAAGCCGGAGAAGTGTCACTTCTGCTTTGAGGAACTGCAGTTTCTTGGCCATGTCGTCAGTTACGCAGGAGTTCGTCCAGACCCAGAAAAAGTTGCCGCCGTCGCACAGTTTCCAACACCATCAGATAAAAAGGCAGTGAGGCGTTTTCTGGGTCTCTGTGCATATTATCGGCGGTTTATTCCAGATTTTGCGCGCATCGCGTCACCTTTAACTCGTCCCCCGAGGGATGACGTTGCATTTGTTTGGGGCAACGAACAGGAAGATGCTTTCAATGACTTGCGGCAACGTCTACAGACGACTCCCGTGCTTGCCCATTTTGATGACACAGCCCCTACAGTGCTCCATACTGACGCCAGCAATGTTGGCCTCGGAGCTGTGCTTGTACAGTGCCAGGATGACGAGGAAAATGTGATCGCTTACGCAAGCAGAACTCTGTCACGCACAGAAGCAAATTACTCGACCACTGAAAAGTAATGCCTCGCCGCGGTGTGGGCAGTTATGAAATTTCACCCATACCTGTATACGGCCGCCCATTCAAGGTTATCAGTGACCACCATTCGTTGTGTTGGTTAGCGAGTCTGAAAGATCCTTCCAGGCGATTGGCACGCTGGAGCCTTAGACTACAGGAGTTTGATATAACGATGGTGTATAAGTCGGGAAAACGACACACGGACGCCGACTGCCTATCTCGATCACCAATAGAGTCGGCTGCTGCTTCTGATGAAGAGACAGCGTTCCTCGGAATCCTGGACACGTCAACCATCGCAGATCACCAGCATGACGATCCTGAGCTACTTGGCTTGATTATTTATTTAGAAGGACGAAGCCAGAATGCACCCAAAGCCTTTACAAGAGGACTATCGGCGTTCTGTCTGCGAAACAATGTCCTTTACAAAATGAACTTCTCGTCAGAGGGGTCCACCTACCTGCTTGTCGTCCCTACCACTCTTCGTTTTGAGGTGTTGCAAGCGTGCCACAACGAGGTAACATCTGGACATTTAGGCTACACGCGTACACTGAGCAGAGTTCGAGGGAGATATTACTGGCCTAGACTCACCGCTACCGTGAAGCATCATGTTCGGACCTGCCTCGATTGCCAGCGGCGCAAGTCACCTCCAACGAAACGAGCCGGTTTGCTACACCCTGTCCAGATCCCGACAACGCCATTTGACCAGTTCGGAATGGACCTTTTGGGCCCATTTCCCACCTTTAGTGTTGGTAACCGCTGGGTTATAGTGGTGACCAACTACCTTACTCGCTACGCCGAGACAAAAGCCATCCAGAGAGGCACAGCAGAGGAGGTAGCCCGGTTCTTCATAGAGAACATTGTGCTGAGACACGGTGCGCCATCGATCGTTATAACAGATCGCGGAACCGCATTCACGGCCGCGCTTTTAGATCATGTGTTGGTGCTCAGTGGTACTATTCATCGCAAGTCGACAGCTTACCACCCACAGACCAACGGGTTGACCGAGCGACTTAACAAAACTCTGAAAGACATGCTTTCAATGTATGTGGACATCGAACACAAAAACTGGGACGAGATTCTCCCTTACATAACGTTCGCATACAATACTGCGAAACAAGAAACAACACGGATGACCCCATTCAGCCTTGTTCACGGACGAGAAGTAAGAACGATGTTAGACGCGATGCTGCCACACGAATGCGATGACAACGAAACGAGTGCTGACGTGTTTACTCAACGCGCAGAGGAAGCCAGGCAGCTCGCACGTCTGCGAATATACCAACAGCAAGAGTACGACGCAGGCCGCTCTAACCAACGGCATACACCTGTAACCTACGAAACCGGGGACAGGGTATGGGTGTGGTCGCCTGTACGAAGACGGGGACTATCCGAAAAATTGCTCAGAAGGTACTTCGGACCTTATCGAGTGCTGCGACGACTAAGTGACGTTACCTATGAAGTCGTCCCGGATAGCCCAAACTGTTCAAGGCGTCGCCAGCACCGACCTGAGCTTGTGCACGTAGTGCGCATTAAGCCATACGTCAGCGAGTGACTCTGCGAGGCACCATAGCGTCTACAAAGTGACTTCATGCTCGAATTACTGTCTCACCTATAGCATCGGGGCGATGCTCTTTTAAGAGGAGGCAAATGCCGCGCCCGAAACAAAGAACGAAGACGATGTGCGCGCCAACAGCTCGTGAAAAGGGGGACTGAAGAAGACGACGTGCTTTTGCTTTGCTCGCCTGCTCTTGGCTCCTGCATAAAAACACACGCCGTTGGTTCTCGGACTCAACGTCTCGGTGCACTGCTTACGTTGAACCGCGACAATATGTTTCCCGCTTCGGGCTCACTCAGACTAAGGTTCAGTAAACTTTTTCTATACCGGATTCACTCCGACTCAGACGTCCCAAAACTTTCCTCTACCGAACTCACGATCATTAACATATGACTCCTCCGGACACATTCCGACTGAGACCCACGGCTCGATCTGAGTCCGAGTGAGTGAACCAGACCGAAATTTACGCGTGCGCCGTTAGCATTTATATCATCTCGCTATGTGTTTCCCCGTATAACCTTTTCTTCTAATAAAATCAGTTGATAGTCGGCGTTCGTCCTCGTATCCGTCTCGTTTGTGCCTTATTCATTCCTTAAAATATGGCACCGGAAACTGGCCCCTCGTAAAACAACTAAAGGCCTCATTACGATGCGCATCACAGTGCTGTCGTAAAATACGCCACGGTACAGGGAACCAGGACGATTTAGTTCCCCGCTCATATACGAGGCCAAAAAAAAAAAATCTAACACTGAAAAAGAGCCCCGACATTCCAACCGATGCTCGCAGAAGATGAAGACGATGATTGGCGGAAAGAACGTCGCACACGTCGATAGGGTTCATTCCGAAATCCGCAGACGCCTATTTCATCATTATATATCACAACACACCACGCGCACGTTGACGTCTCGTCGAGTGGATGGTATTGCGGGCCGAATAATGCCCGTCCACATAATATACACGACGTAACAGCATCCGGCTATTTGCGCGCCGCACGCCGAAGCACACATACGGAAGGATCAGACGGCGTTTCTTCGCAGAACCCGGAGTGATTCTCGCTTCCTCTATATATAGGTACCGGAGGACTCCGCGAAGGCCAGAGTAGATCATCCGGCAACGTCTCCCCGAGATGATCGGACCTGTCACGACACGGGCCGTCCGTCTCAAGCGTGGTGGCGTTTATACATACGCGCAGCCGTCGCACTGTTATGTATACGCCGCATTTTCACTGGGGCGTACGCGTCCTAGACGAATGCGAAAGGAGACCCCTGTCGACGGCGCGTCAACGTGATAGTAGCACACCACCGAACAAAACGGGTCAAGTTGGTCGCGCGCCCAGACAACGGAACGGGTCGGCAACTGTCGGGAGGGGCGAAGCGACCGCGTCGGTCTCGGGGCTTCGTCATCGACCTTGGTGTATTCTTTCTAAACATTGTGCGCACGCAGCGATGCTTCTTTTCGCCACGAGAGAGAGAGAGACCGACGACGGAGCGGTCTATACAGACTCCCTTCTATAACATCACTCGCTTCTGGGAGAACCGATTTTCCGGGCCACCGGGCGACGACGATCCTTCACACACGGAGAGCAAACATTTCGCGGCGCGTAGCCCCCCCCCCCCCTCCCCTCCATTTTTGAGTCACGAAGACGAGGCGCGGACGCAATCGAGGCAAATGGGACGCCTTCCGCGGGGAAGGGCGAAAGATCGCGAACAACGATACACAAACGAACAACGTGGCGACGAAGACGGGCGATTGTCCAGCTGACCCAATTAAGGGAGCCCGCCGGGTGCAAGCGGGCGAGAAGAAGAGGCGAAATGCGTTTAATTTGGGCCACCGAGCCATCCCATTAGCGCGCGACTCGCCGGATCACAGAGCGCGCGGCCGGGAATGTGTCCATCGTGCCCGAAAATGGCTTCCCCGCCGGGGGCGCAACAACGAGGTGCGATTCTCGAAGTGCTCGTCAGCGCAGGGCGGACGACCGACTGACAGTGAATACGGCGCCTTCATCTGCCAAGCAAGCAGGAGCCGAGCGCGAACGGAGAAGGAATATAGGGCGCTGATAACGTCAGCCGCGTCCTGCCACGCGCCAGACAACAAAAGAGCGGGCTTAATTCGACGCATTCCTACGTCCTAACCGAACTCCTACAGTGTCTGTGTATACATAGAGGGACCCAGTTTTTCTTCCGGTCCACCGCGAAGATGGGAGGGTACGGCGTGTGCCGCCTCCCGGGGTAACGCCTGCAACCTGCGGCGAACCGACCGGTCCCTGGCGTCGTTGTCGTCGCTTTAACGAGACCCTCCCTCACCCCCACCTTCCCCAAATACACGATGACGTCACCCACTGGCAGCGCCACCACCAGCAATAGCCGGAAATAGGCGCTACGGACCGCCGGAGCTCCCGGGCAGGTAAAGAAAACTCCCGTTACGCAGCGTCGTTCGCTTCAAAAAGCGCGCCGCCGCATCCCAGTCCGTTCGGTGGAGAGAGGGGCGGTGTTTCTCGGATGAGGATCAGGCGGTGAGGGGCTTTCCGTGGGGCGCCACACCTTCTCAGTGCAGTGTGACAGGGGCAGCATCGCGAGCGGTGCCTCTATGTCGTGTGGCCGCGTGACGACGTGACGAGGGATGCCTGCCAGCCACTGGGTCCTTGCCGGGATATTGACATTCGTCGTCCCTCTGTGGCTGGCCGACGGCGCATGGGCCAAGTTCACCCAAAGTGACAGCGAACAGCAGCAACAGTCCAAGGTGAGTGAGTTGCTGTTTCTCAGCTTAGGTCGCGCAACTGTGAGGTGATTGACGGATATGAGCCTTCAATGAATGGATGGTAAAACTCTATTTCGCCAGAAAGCAACTACGGACGATTCCGCGTTAGATGCACAAGGTTGACGACGGCCTGTGTTACCACTCCACGACCCTTGTCTGGACAACTGGGTCTGAGCTGGTCAACACGGCCTTCCAGTGCTCAAGAGAGGGATCGCGCATAATATCCGCCGGTGGCGGCACCATGCTACATTGCCAAAGTATGTGATCATATGTTGCCACGCACCATTTGCATCGCGGCTTTGTCTCCTTCGGGTATATTTTGTTCAACACGCGATGGTTGGGAAAAGATCGCGTCTGTGCGGGGGCAGATAACGCATCCGCTCTTGTTTACAATGATTCGTGATGTCGTAAAAGGACACCAGCCCATCCCTCGCGGACCTCCCCGGAACGGGCGGCTCATCTGCCCGACTGACGAAATCTCGAGCATTCAGGTGAGCCGCCTCGTTCCCAGGATTCCCAGAGTGCGCTGGTAGCCAGACAACTTCTATTTCTCGAATTTCTCGAGTCCCGTGAAACCGGGATTCGCATCGCTTTTGTATTAAGCGATGGTGTCAGTGAGGCGCGTTGCACTATCAAGTATATACACCCTTGCAGTTCAGGCGGTTCAGACGTACTCGTTGTACTTGGATGCGTCTTACGGGATGCGGGTAAGCGAAAATGAAACTGGGTTAAGCGTGCCCGAAGGAGAAACGATCAAGTGCGAAGCGCCTGAGCGAGCGAAATGTCAATTGCACTTTGAGACACATCGACGAGGGTGCGAAAAGAGGTCTGACCGGTTATGTGTGCGTTTTAACAAAACAGCCCTCCAGAGATGTCCCGCCGAGACGTTCAAGCACCCGCTTTCTTGCGTGGCTTATAAAAGAAAGAGTAGTAGTTGGCCACACTAAGCACACGATCGCCGATAATACGTGAGACGTGATGTCGACGTCTGCGCTTATCTCTGATATTAAAAAGTGAAGTATGTCTCACGCAAGCTAGAACACCGAGTGCATTTCATTTCGCCAGAGTTATCGCACCATGCACCAATCATCGCGAAGTTATACTCTGGCTTCCGGGGACTGCAAACCAGCATGCGAACTTCACATAACAGAAGCAAAGTGGCCGTTGACAACAGTAGCTGAACCAGCTGCCACATGCAACACCGCAATGCTCCCAACGGGTCTAGCAGGTCGTAAACGCCGAGACAAAAAGCCCAGCTTGTTGAATTAACACCAACGAGCACAAACCAGAAATATAAACCGGCAGAAAAATAGCGCGGCGAACTACACCACGGTGAGCCACGCTCGAAGACTAAAAGGTCGTGGATGCTCCTGTAATGTGCCAGACACAGACGTAGCCCGAAGTGTAGAAAAAAAATAAACGGAAGCGCCGCGGCAGAAGAAAGGCGAGGACAATGCGATGCCGTCGCCAGGGGACGGAACGCGCGGCAACGAGACAGGAGCGAAAGAGGCCCGCCGCTGGCTTCCACGGTCCCGTGGATAGGCTGCCGCAGTTTGCGGTCACGGCAGCGGCGGTTCTCGCCGCCGCCACCACGTGCACGCGCATACGAACCGCTATGGCTCCTCGGTCCACGGACCACGGCGGGCACCCACCCTCCCTTTGCTCGTCTCCTCCCCGCGCCAGCCGACGGGAAACGCCACCCCGCCGGGGCGACAGCGACATAGCAACCGTATGCACGTATCAACTTGGACCTAACGCGCACAGGATCGTCTTCGCATTCTCAGCCGTGAGCTGCATGTAACTTAAAAGTGTGGCAGCTTGGGCTAGTTGGTATGGCATGACGATAGTTATAGCGCGTGAACAAAACGACGACATTCGTGTCCTTCTCGTCTCTGCGTCGTAGTTTTGTTCACGCGCTATAACTATCGTGGGCTGCAACGTGGCAATAGGACCACGTTTTGCTGACCTTCAACGATACCACTCATCGTCAAGCACCTTACTGTCCTGCAGCGTTTCCCCACTTATTGAACAAGTCGAAGGTGACACTGAAAGGCACGGTTATTGAGCTGTAGGTATTTATAACGCCCCCAAAATGCCCAAAAAAGTGCACGCAAAACGAATGCACACGAGCGTTCTCGCATTTCGCTTTCATCGAAAAGCGGCGACCATGACTGAGAGCCGCTCCCTCCACCTTGCGCTTACATGGGACCCCACAGCTATAAAGCCCGAGCCAAAGCGATGGGTACCAGGTTCCGCTTCTCAACTCAACGCTGCTAGCTCATGCCTCAACGACACGCAGCACGCACTCTTTCGTTCACGCGTCTCACCATCGCTTGTCTTCTAGCGCCTTCAAGTCAACAACCTGCTTTGAAACATGGAGCTTCGGGGGTTCCACCTATTCGTGTCCGGCGGACGCGAACAAGCGGCAGGGAAAGCGCGATTAGCAGGGGCAAGAAAACGGTATACGTACCCTGTACAAGTTGCGTCTTGCTGGACGCATCACTGTCAAGGTCCATTCACACCGGCGACTAGCACCGGCCGCGCGACCATTTGCAACAATATCGACCATAAAACGATATGCGACCAGCGTTTACACATACGGGCGACTTATATGCCTATTCCATGTTTCTAAAGAGCGGTAGGCGCCGTTGACATACCGGGTAGAGCCCCTGGGGCGCTTGTTGCCCTCTATGATCACGTCGGGGAGGCTCCCAAGCCCGCAGTTCTCGGAGGCTGCTTCGCAGCCGCTGTGCCAGTTGTCACGTGATCATAGAGGGCGATGGCGGGCTTTGGGCTGGGAAAAGCCTACACGCCGCAACCCTCACTACAGGCGTCCAAGTACCTAAGGTCGACGGCGACTACCGCTGTTTACAAACTTTGAATAATATCGACGCACAGAGTTATTATTTTTTTATTTTTTTTATTATTTCAAATACCCTCAGGGTACAAACGTACATTGAAGAGGGGAGGGGCAAAGAAAGTTAACACGTAATAATAACTTGGTTATAGTTTATAGAGTTCAAGCATGTTCGCGCTACTTTTGCCCCGCAAAACAAGTTGACGTTCTGTACCTGTCCATCTGGCTGGTTCAGACGTTTGTGACTGCAGTCGCGTGAATGCGAAATCCAAGAAGTGTGCGACTGAGCCAAACGAGTCACTTAGAAACAAAAGCGGCCATTCGCGGCCAATCGCTTCGCCACTACCTTGGTCGCACGACCAGTACTCCTAATTGGGCTTGGTCACCAGCAGTGCTTCACTGCATACATGCAAGTGATTCGCGTATTCCACTGATAACATAATGGGGCCTACAGTAGAACCAGAGGCATCCTGCTCACCAGCTAGCCCCCTGCTGCATAGGGTATGGCAAACTAAGCTCAAGTTTTCTCTAGACAAACGATGAAAATGAAACCTCAACTCTGCGCAAACTGACTTCTGTAGGTTGATGGTACATAGCTAGAGTCCCTGGAAGAATCACGATTTACATAACACAAGACAGCAACGTTCTTACGTACGTTCGATTATTTATCGCGAACTATGCACCGCGTCTTACCTTTCATTGCGATAGCAACTATATGTACAATCTCGGCAGATTTTTTTCCGTCGCCGTCATGTCACGGATATGCATGTGAGGTTATATATGTAAAAAAGGATACAAAAATAAACCAGTACGAAAAATCCAAGCAACATGATGCATAGCAACGTGGTGCATAGTTGGCGTTAAATGAGCAAACGCAACAACTTTCGGTCTTGTGTCGTGTAAGCCATGACTCTTCCAAGGGATTCGAACCAGCGACCTCGTGATGCCACTCGCGATGCTTGTGCTGGTGATATAACGGCAAGCTATTCATATACACCATTTAGCTCTCGCGGTACGTAGACCTCGGAACAACTTGACCTTATTTTCTATCACCAACGGTTTTACATATTCTTTTAAATAGAAAACTGTTATTGAGAAGCGCAAAAAAAAGTGTGACCCCTTCTGTTCAGCTCATGATGTAGATGAAAAAAAAAAAACCACATGCTTGCGCAGAAAGAGCACTGTCACCGCGAAAGCTGGAGAAAGCGGCATTTCAGAGCCGTTTCTAATCACTCTTTGGGTATCTGCTACAAGTAGACTTGGAGGTACCCACTAGGCCATGAATAATCTTAATTTTTGTGTAGTTGGCCGGCATTCACTATGTTATTTTTCGTTATTCTTCGGAGAAGCGAGGTATCCGCTGCACACTTGCTATGGCCGAAGAATTTTGCCTGAAGTGGGTATGCGCCACAGTTACCCTAGTAGGTGACCAAGAACAAGCTTTTGTAATGGGTTGGAGTATTGGACGGCCACTCGTTAGGCGATTCGCAATGTGTGACGCCTGGTTGTTCCTTTGATGTTCTAAAACGCTTCATTACTCATATTAGCGCGATTCCTTTCCCGACATCAAGCCTGCCTAAGGCAAGTTTGGAAACGCATTCCAAGCACCGGTGTCACTCAGTAGTAAAATACTGGGCTCGAATGCCATTCGGACTACGTTTTGAATCCTCTTGTGTCCTTGGTGTATTTGTTTATTTACTAATTTTATTTTCTTATTTCGTGCGGGAGAGGTTACGGACACCGGCGGCGGACAACTACGGCACCACACGTGAAACCACATTGCGATCACATAACAGCTCTCACTGTAAAAAAAAAAGTAGCAGTTTCCCTATATAGGAATCGGTATAACACGAAAGTGAAAAAAGCCTGTCTTTACAGAGGTAGTAGAGCGTTCATGGTGCATTGTTTCAGCAAGAGCAACAAATAGCGAAGCCACGTTAGGAACGGCAAGCAGCTTGAAATTTACAGCGCACACGACAAGCAGAAAGGACGCACGAAATTAGCATACACAGTACGAGCGCGGCCTAACAACAGTCTCAGCTCGCCACTTCAAGCGCGCTGTTCGAACAGAAAGACGCCCGAAACGAGCGCGCAAGTATACACAGGCGAAGCGCGAACAACTGTT